CAGCTTCATCTGGGTGGCCATGGATCCTGGGCTCCAAGGAACATTGCCTCCTCCTCACCTCCTAAGGAGGTGAGAGCTCCCTGCTCTTGCTAATCTCTTGGTGGCCTGATTGTCCCGTTAGGTTTTTCAATATCTTTCATCACTTGTATAATCAATTCCAAGCGTGTAATGCCCTCTGTTTAAAATACTGAGTGGTTTCTGTTTTCCTCCTGGAAACTGACTGATACTGTGCCATATTTTTTTAATGCCAATAGCATTTAATTGTTTGCATCTGGGGCCCTCAGAGAGACTCCCTATACCTCCAACTCCCTCTGGCACCAGCCAAGCATAGATCTAGAATTACCTCCATAAGGGTAGTTATTTCCAGAAGTCCCTGTTAATACACAAATCTTTTGCATAATATTTTTTTTTCTAGGTCATATCTTCCATAAGGAACTTGCGGCTAAGTTGTGATTCATCTGATCTCTGTGAAACACAAACTCAGAGTTTCTGAATTCCCACTCCATGACCACTGTCTCCACCCAGAGGAGCCTTTATTGAAAACAAATTCATCTGAAACAAAGAAGTTTAAAGTACCTACTTTCTTCCACCATGTGACTTATACTGGTGGGAGTGGTGATGCAAGGACTTGTTGAAGATCTTCAGGCAGGAAGACTTTTCTCAGCCCATGACAGGGGTGGGGGGGAATCTCTGCTTGTTATAATTCCTCTCTAGGAAGGTAAAAGTGAGTTTCTAGCCACACCAGAGAAATCTCCAAGTAATTCAGTTCAACAAACTTTTTTAAAATCAAGGTTTAATTCACATAATGTTTAATCAGTCAAGTTAATGAAAATATCAAAATTTTTGAGTTAGCGTATGGCAGCGTAAATTTAATTTCTGTTGCAAATAATACAGTATTTGGTGTTTCCATTATTGACAAGCTGTGCTTAAGAAAGAGGGATCACATTGAATCTTAATTCATCAGAGTCACGTTCCATAAACTTCTTGCAAACCTCTGTGGCATCCTCTAATAAAGTTTCATTACTAGTTTCCCCATGGTTTACTGGAAGTGGTTTCTATCTGTCTAATTCATAGACATGCCCATCTACATGAACTAATGCAATTACACATGAACTGATGTGTTCTGTTCACTATACATCAGTCAAGGTGCAAGGTGTTAGGGTACAGGTAAGAATGAAGAGTGCAGGCAAAATTGTGAAGTAGTTCAAGTTCATCTCGATTATCCTAACACTCAGATCACTGACTCTTTTGTATCATGTTAACATTCCTTCTGTCACAGTCTTTATTCCCACCAAAACCTGTCATATAAAGATCAGTTATATTAAAGTGTAAATGATTGGTGGTGACTTAAAAAATTATCCTGTGAGAGGAGTTTGCATTTCAATGGGTACTGAAAACTTAACATAAAAAATTTAATCTTCTTCAGTAGAATTTGAAACAAGAGCAGGTTGGGGTAGTTATCCAAGGGCCAGGATGCCTTCCCAGCCTCTGAAATGAGACCACTATTCCTTGGCCTACATTTTCTGCAGCCCCTCTCAGAAGGTATTAAAAGCCTTTTACAAGATATTCCATTCCATTGCCATCTATGATAAAATGTGTATAGGTAAAGCTATATTTTCAATAACCTCGTGTCAGAAATAAAGGACTTCCCTGTGAATAGCCCAGGGAGTATTTCAAAATGTAACCTTGCTCTTCTGCTTCCCTTCCCATCCCTTGCCTTCCCTTCCCTTGGGGGGACAAAGTGGCCCAGAGCAGGACATCACAGCCCAAGCTGAGGGAGAAGGGCATCCGCGCAACATGGTGAGAGGCTAGAGGTGGAGACGGGACACTGGTTACATACAGAAGAACTGGCCGAATAAGTAAATATGCTGAGGATAATGGGAACCAGGTTTCTCACTGTTGGAGAAGGACATTACAAATACGAGAATGGAGAACTAGAATGAACCTTGTAGCGTTGGATTGAAATAGGAGATGTGAGTGTGTAATCATGATTTGTAATATATAAACATAGAAATATAGATGTTGAACATGTGCATACACATTGTATATGTGTGTGTGTGCATGTGTGTGCACGTGTGTGTGCGTGTGTGTGTGCACATTCCCAACCTCTGTCCACGGAGAGGATCTAGGCAGAGCAACACTCCAACAGCAATGAGATCATTGAGTACCCAGATCTTGGTTTCCTCAATATATTCTCCACTAAAAGAAACCAAGGCTTCTTGGAGAAACGGCAGATTCCAGGGCTGGGGAAGGGAAAGAATGAGATGAGTCAGGAACACCATATTGCTGTCAGAAAGTAAGGAAGTGGGGACATGTCAAAAAGACACAGAGGCCAGCTTGAAGGTGCTCCTAGTGGCCAAACCAACAAAAATTTGCACGTGAGAATAGATAAATGAGATGATGATGATAACAACAGATTATAGCCCACTGAATAAAATAATCACTAAGTCAAACTAGAAATAAATGAATAAATTAGAGGTTAATGAGGAACACGATATTTATGTGGTCTCAAAGCACATCCCCACACAAATATTTGTTAATTACAAAGGATAAAAGAGTAACTTTGCAACAGAGAAGCCTAGCAGACCCCCTCTTAATCAAAGGATGAAAGTGAACACTATCCATAAGAGGACAAATCCAAATTGGTTGTCTGATAGGATTCTATGGTGATAGGGCACAATGAGATGAGCACAGCACCCGGCATTGTTTTGGTGATACTCCTGCCAGCAATGCATAATCTGAATTTGATCACAAGGAAACATCGAGCAAACCCAAACTGAGAGACATTCTGTAAAATAACTGACCTATAATCTTCAAAAGTGTCAAGATCATGAAAACCAAAGAAAGACTGAGGAACGGTTCCCAACTGAAGGAAACAGGACAGCTGAATAAACAAGTTATTCTCAAATGGACTAGGTGGTAATGATAAAGCAATGTTAATCTCGCAGTTATTTTAGCTGTATTGTGGTTGTGTGGGACAATGTCCTAGCTGGTAGGAAGTACACACTAAAGTTTGTGGGATGATGCTGTAGCAGATTGCATCTGACTCTCAAATAATTCAGGAAAAAAAATGGTTTTGGTACTGTGTTGGCAATTTTCCTGTGAATTTGAGATTATTTCTAAATAAAAGATGTAAAACTGTGATCTCATTCTGTGTCTTACAGATACAAGTACCTGATAAAGTTCAATGCTCGTCTCATTTTCTTTATTGTGGTTGAATCCAATTTAAATTAAAATACAAAATGTTTAACAAACATAAACCCAATACATATTGAGCGACACAAGAGAAATCCATTCTAGGATTTATCGCTCTTTAATCTTGTCCAAAGATAACAACTTTAACACATTTAGACCTTTCACCTCTAAGAGATAAATAAACGTGCAGACAATCTTTAAGGAAATCAGTGCTGTGTGGCCTTTTTTAGTCTACTAAAGTCCAACGTGGAGCATAGATCTGATGCAATACTGTAGCAGAAACTGTAAATTACGACATGGTAACTCTCACACACAGTAATGAGAATCCCCACCTATGCTCCCCTCCAGATACAGTAACTTACTTTCTCCAAGAAAACAGACTTCTTCCTCTGACTATGATACTTCACAACATATCTTTCCAAAAAAAAGAAACACCTTCCCATTCAACACTGGTATTTTTAAAACCATTAGAACTTCCAGTTACACAGGTAGATTTAATAAGTATTCCTTTAAGAAGAAACAATTTTCAAGGGATAACTTATATCTTACTTGTTACATTAACTTATAGTACATTTGATCACAAACAGCAAGATAATTACAAAGCTATCAAATAAAATTTTTTTAAAAATATTCAATTCACTAAATATTAACTACGTGTCAATCTCTTGCAAGGCCTCAAGCTAGATATTGTGAGGGGAAAACAAAAATGACCAAGGTGTCAGCCTCAGCCTTCAAGAGCCCATCTTGTGCAAACATACACACCATTATTACACAATTTACTGATACTCAGTTATCCTATCAAGAAGACTGTTACAGATCAATTTCAATTATTAAAATCTACAACCAGAGGAAGCGATGTGTCTGAAGCAAATCATCAAAATCAAAGAAACTCAGTTAAACTTCTCTCAGAAGATGACAGAAGTGCAGCATGTGTTCAAGTCTTAAATGTGGTTATGAAGTCAATGCTTAGTGTCATTCCATTTGTACCAGAAACAACAAAAGGACCTATCCCATCCTCCTTCACCAAAAACAAACAAACAAAAATATATGAGAGATAATAGGTTAAAATGAATATAAAGAGCCAACTTTCAAAATTACTTGAGAGACTGAGGGATGTGTGTAAAGGGGTAGATGGGCTTTGCCATGAAAATAGGTTGAAGAGTTTGTGGACTGATTGTATATTTCTATAAGACTTAGGTAACTTTTTCCCATCAGCTGACAGAGCAATGAACAGCACAAAATTGCTCCTGCTCTGTTGTCAAAACACAGGACAAAAGTAGGCAACCCGTTCATGCCCTTGGGCAGCTTTGCATCCTCTGGTATCTCGTAATCTGTTAGTTTCAAACCATGTCAATGCCATACATTGGCAAGCACTGCATCTGATCAGTTATTAGCCAGTTTATCGTTAACATTACCGAGTAAATGTGATATATAGCATAATTCATTAAAGTTTAAATAGCTGTTTATACCCTGAGGAATTCCTCACCAAAACTGTATGGGTTATTTTTGAGTTAGGGAGTAGACACTTTAAGTACCTATATCACATCCCCCATAACTCTCACATTGTTCATTTTATTAAAGGTATCATGCAATGAGAATCTGCAACACAATCAAAACAAAAATTCACTCTAAAAGGAAATATATTATCTATAGATAATCAAATATCATCTATAAAAATATTCTATGAATTGGAATAATATCAAGTCATTAAGCAGAATCACTTGTTCAGAAAAAGGCATTACAATCCTATCATTCTGGAAATGAATTTAAGTTTTTCACCAACTCTCACAGAAAGACGTGACTGATTCAGTCTCTATGGCAAGGGAAAATTTTTAATACAGTCTGAGGTTTGTAATGCTGGCCGTGTTTTCACGCAGGTTCAAGTAGACGTATTTCATGGGTTTGAATACACATCAAACAATGTTTACTGCTTGAATACCCACAAGAGCAAATCTGAGACAGGTAAATTAAGTTAGTTTGATTCAAGAGATCTGATTTTCTTCGTGTTGCTGAAGCTGACAGCAAATGGTACCCGTAAATTAGAATCTTAGGAAAGAATCGTTAGGGATTTGTGTTTTGTTTTGATTCGTTTTCTCTCTGCAGACGTGTTTGGGTGGTCCACCAGTGACAACTTTTAATGGAAAGAGGCTCTCACTTTTCGGCCCTTCAGAGGCTGTGGTGGACGGTGATTGCTCAACAGAAAAGCTGCTGTTTCCCCCTCGGCCGTACACAGGAGGGTGCGGAATTTGGCCAGCTGTTGAAGAAAAGAGGGAAGTTAGTTTCAGCGTAGAAAGTCACATCAATGCTTACGAATTGCCCAAATAGAAAGTTAGGAAACACATAACCTTCCCTCTACCAGGAACTAACAATACTGCAATGAAAATTTTCTAAGTTATGGGTCATACATAATAAAGGAACTCTTTCGCTAAATTCTCACCACCACGCAAATACGTATGCGTTCAAAAATTAAGTAGACAGGAATTCTTTATTTGAAGATCAAAGTAATAGAGCAAATATTTAGAATGTGGTTTAAAGAGTACATATCTGGAAATCAGAGCGTGTCACCTACAAAGGCAGAATGGGACAGTGGAAAGGGCACTGCATTGGCTTTCAGAACTGGGTCCCAGGCCTGTTTCTGCCACTGACTAGCTCTGCGACCTTGGCCAAATCACTTACTGTCTCTAGTCTTCATTTCCTCAGCTATAAAGTAAAGCACTGGATTTGAAGACCTCAACAGGTGTCTTCCAGCTCTCGGAATTACCCCGAACACTTACAAGCACTGCAATATAACATGGCCCCAATGTCCCCATTTTCATTTTCTCGTCCTGTGGAATTCCGATCTTATAAGCATTGTTTTCCTTTAACTAGATCATTTTGCTTGTGTTCACCATACTTGTGCCTTGTAAACAACTAACTATGGAAAAATCCTAGGGCCCTTCCACCTCTGATAATGTTTAAACACAATTTTAGTAGCATAGGCATATTCCTCACTAAAAGGGCTTAATTTTTCTTATTATTAAAAAAATGCTTACTTATCCTACAAACTTCATATAATACACAAAGCATCAAGAAAAAAATAAAAATTACTAGTAATCACATCACAAGATGTAACCTACTGCTAACATTATGGAGTATATCCTTCCAGGTGTTTTTCTATGTATAAACACACACACGTGTGCACTGGTGCACACCCAAACACACACACACAGACATGTTTTATTAAAAAATGAGCTCATGCTTTTTATATATATATAGTCACTTAATATATATCCTAGATTTCTTTGCATGTCAATAAATATAATGTCACTATATGTCACTATTTTTAATTGCTGAAAAGTTTTCTATTATAAAAATGTTTTATAAATTACTCAATTCTTTGGTGATTTAATATTATTTATTAAGATTTAGCACAGGTCTACAGTCATAAAATGAAGATTGAATAACTTATCTGAATAAATCTACTGTCTCAAAAATGTTCACCGAAAATACATTGCCAATTAACACAAATAAGTTTTTGGTGTTTGTTTAGCTCTTTTGTTTGAGGGAGGACAAATTATTAAATTATTGAGAATGAGAGCTTCCATTTGCTAAGCCTTGCTAGTCACCTCATCACAGAGTCAAGCCAGTTCAGACTAGGACACATCAATTATGTTTCTGTCATCATGAGTCAGCTGCCAGGATAGGAGGTGATGGGGGTCCTTCATAATAAACAGGCAACAGTTTATAACCAGCCTTTATGCAGATGAGTTCAGGCATCACGTGCAAGCAGCCATGTATTTCCACAAGTGATGTTTTGAGGTGTCTTTTAAAAGGGTATAAACATGGGAAAGATAAGACTAATACTTACATCCTGCTATTTCTCATGTTTCAGCACACCAGATCACTAGCTAAAGCCAGAAGACACTTCAGTAACTCTCTGGGAAAGGCAAGCAGCAGAGGCCAATAAAATCTAACCTCTGTAGCCACGAGGAAGACGCCCAGCCTTCTGCAGATCTTGGTAATCCGGGTCTGTCTGGAGTGGCCACTCGGTGGCTGTGCGAGAATCCCAATTCCTCTGAAGATCTTGGCTTTATTTATCCCCCTACCCCCTTTTGACTCCTCTGCAAGCTGATCATGGCTCCCTCCCTCTCATCACCTTAGCCTCATCAGTCTAGAACTGGAACTTACTCTAGATCTTTCTCTGACCTGCCTGCCCACGTTGGTAAGAGTCCCTGGACTTGTTCTGATGTCTCATCAAACCCCTTCCCTTATTGGCCCTGGATCTCCTCCCAGTCACTTAGCCCAGCTGGGGAGATGCTGCATCTACCTACCGCCCCTGCTCAGATTTGCTTCTCTTGCCTCTGGTGTCTTCCATCACTGCATGGGCCTCAATATGAACACCCCTGGCTTCCTATCAGTCTCATCCCCTCACTGAGCCCCCAGCTTCCTTCAGGTGGACAATCTGTCCCTCTCTCACTAAGGCTGACTCAGCATCTACCTCACTCCTGGCAGGAGTCTCCCCAGGTCGGCCTGGAGGCTGAGGTGGGTCTGACCTCTTTTGCTGTTTTCTTTGGCTCTAACACTGAAATTTTAATTTCCTTGTCTAGTAACTTCAGTGAGCAGAAATACTCTTTTACGTTTTGTAAACTGCTTTGGTTATGTCACTCTAATGCTCAAATGTCTTTAGTAGCACCCCGTTGCCTGCCAAAGTTGAGTAATCATAAAAATAAGCTGTCTCTTATGGAACCTGGTGGCCAGGTACATGCTAAGTGCTTGACCTTCCATTATCTCATTTAACCCCCAAACAACCCTATCAATGATATACTATTATCCCCATTTTAAAGATGAGGGACTTGACAGATAGCTAGGAAGTTTCATTAAATAAGCCATCTGGCAAATAAGCCATGCACTAACCACAGCATTACATGGCAACTCTAACATTTTTATTTGCCATTTTCCCCTAACCTCTTTTTACCATGGAAACTTTCACATATACACAAAGGGAGAAAGAGCTGCATCATAAACCACCATGAACCCATCACCCAGCTTCAACGACCATCAACACATGGCCAATTTCGTTTCATCCATGCTCTCACCCATTCTCACGCTCCTGCCCAAACTGGACTATTTTGAAGCAAATTCCAAATATCACATCATTTCAGGTATAATCATTTCAGGGTATATCTCTAAAATATACAACATTTCTAATCCTATTTAAACAAAACAAACTTGTTAGCATAGCCCCCAAGCCTCTTGACCACTCAGTCCCAGCTACTCTTTCTAGATGATCTCCCATTGCTTCCACCTACAGGACCCATTCTAAGCCAGTTTTGTGAAGGGTGGTCCCAGAGCCTCTGAATGAACAGACTTTGAGGTGGGTCTAAAAGTTCATGTCCTGGACCCTACCCCAGACCTTCTGAATCAGAATTTCTGATACAGCCCAAAGACCCACATGTTGATAAGCCTCCCCAGGTGATTCTGGTATACACTGAGGTTGGAGAACCAGAGGTACAAAGTTGCCCACATATTTTCTGCACGTCCCTTTCTTGCCTTTATTTATGCTGTTTCTTCTTGAAATTCCTCCCTTTCTTTTACTATTCCCAACCAGTTGCCACCTTTTAACTAGCCCCAACATCAGCTCTTTCATGAAATCTTTTCCTGATTTCTCCAATGAAAAATAGTCTCTCCTCTTTTGAATTTCCCTTGCATCTTACATTCTCTTGCAATACCAAGCACTGTAACACACAGTTTTTTATGCATTTATTTTATCTCCCCCATTAGATTATAAACTACTCGAGGACGAGGGCCATTTTTAACACTTCTTTGTATCTCTTGCATCCCGCCTTGCAAGAACTGGCAATTATTAAACAATTCCAGAATTGACTTGTACTGTCTCCTACAATTTAGAACTTTAACTTCAAAGCTAATGACATAGAGTTTTATATATTAAGTCAAAATTAATGTTCAAGCGAATGAATTCTTTCCTCACTTCACATATAGTCTAAAGATGCAAAAGTTAAAGAAAATATTCCTAGATCATTAATTATCATTAATTAAAAAATACAGAATTTTACTATTAAAAAAGAACATCTGGTTTCCTTCCAGATATGTTGGACTAAGACCCTGCAGACAACTCCCCTGTAGAAAACAACTCTAAAACCCAGATATAACACAAAAAACAACTAGTTGCAGGTGCTGGAGAGTGAACAGAAGCAAAGGGATGCAGGTGGGGAGTTCACGCTCACTGGAAGGAGGGATGGAAGCTCTCCCACTGGGTTCCTGTCTCCCCAGTTTTTCACCTGGAGCTGAGTGGAGTCTGCAAGGTGCACTTGGTTATAATGGGGTACACCTGTCTTGCAAGGAAAGAGCCAGAGGGAGGATCCCCAAACTCTATATCCAAGAACCACGCATGGCTATACCGAAACCAGAGCTGCTGTTCAAGATAGAAAGTTTGCAGTTCAAGTCCAGCAAAGAAAATTACCTGCTAACACAAAAAACAATACTCATCAGAAAAAAAAAATAACAGAATCTAGAATCTCCACAACTTAATGTTCATAATATCTAGAATACAATAAAAAGTTACTCAATATATGAAGAATCAAGAAAATGGAACACATTCTCAAAGAAAGAGAAATCAACGAAGTCAGGCGCAAGATGACAAATTTGGAACTCACAAGGATTTTAAAGTGGCTACTCTCACTATCTGAGGGTTATATGATGTTAAAGCATCTTTTATAATGCATGAGAAATCTCAGCAGAGTAATAGGAAATCTCAGCAGAGAAGTGGAAATAATAAAAGAGAACCAAATAGAAATTTTAGAACTAAAAAATACAATTTCTAAAACAAAAAATTCAGTGGCTAGACTTAACAAATTGACATGACAGAGGAAAGAGCAAATGAACTTGAATGTGGATCAATAGAAATTATCCATGGTGTAGATTAGAGATTAAAAAAAGATTTAAAAATAATAGAGCCAGAGGGACCTATTAGATAATATTAAAAAGTCAAATGTATGTGTAATTGAAATATTAGAAGGAAAGGAAAGTGAGAATAAGGCAGAGCATATGCAAAAGTTAATTCATAAGTAATCAAAGACTTAAATGTAAGAGCTAAAACTCTCTCTTAAAAGAGGAAAAAATACTTTGTGGCACACAGTCAAGCAAAGATTTCTTAAACAGGACAACAAAAGCACAAACAACAAAAGGTAAATTGATAAGATGGACTTCATCAAGATTAAGACTTTTGCTCTTCAAAAGATATAGTGAAAAAAAAAAGGCAAACCGCAGACTAGGAGAAAACTTTTGCAAAACATATATTGGAAAAAGGGCTTTCATTCAGATTGTAGGAAGAACTCTTGCAACTCAATAATGAGGAGAAGAGAAACAAGCCAATTTAAAAAATGCACAAATTATTTGAACATACACCTCACAAAAGAAGATATATGCATAGCCAATAAGCATGTGAAAAAATGCTCAAAATCACTAGCCATCGGAAAAAGGCAAATTAAAAATCACACATACCCACTAGAATGGCTGAAGTCAAAAAGACTGACAACACCAAGTGCTGACAAGGATGTGGAGCAACTAGATATCTCAGACGTTGCTGGTGAGGATGGAAGATGGAACAGCTATACGAGAAAACAATATGGCAGCACCTTATAAAAGTAAACGTGAATTTACCACATGGCCTAGTAAAGCCAGCACTAGGTATCACCACAAGACATGAAAATATGTGTCCACAACAAAACGTGTATGCCAATTATTCCTAACATCCAAATATGGATAGCTATTATTCATAATAGCCAAAAACTGGAAGCAACTCAAGTGTCCATCAACTGGGGAACAGATTAAAAATAATGTGGTATATCCATACCACAGAATATTATTCAGTAATGAAAATAAGTAAAATGGGTGAATCTTGAAAACATTATGTTAAATAAAAGTCAAACACAAAAGTCTATGTACTGTATGATTCTATTTAAATAAAATTCTAGAAAAGACAAAATTCTAGCGACAGCATCTCAGTGGCTTCCTGGGGCCATGGGTGAGGAAAGGGATAAAGTGCAAAGGGGCACAAGGAAGCTTTTCTGGCCAGCGGATCTATTCTATATCTTGATTGTAGTGGTTGTTGCATGGTAATATATGACAACCCAAATCATCAACTGCACCCTAAAATTCATGAACTTTACTGTATGCAAATATTATAACAAATGAAAAAGAGATTTTAAAAAGAAGAGTAGAATTAAAGCCAAGTATTATGCACATTGAATTTCAGCAGATGAGTAAGCCAATTTAGATAATTTAGGATAACCCAAAAAGACTTGGCAAGAAAAGTCAGCCTTCCAAAGAAAATGACAGATCTGTTATCAAAAGTATCAGAAAACAGTCTATTTACTGGCCTGGCAGTTAAATCAAGCATTTCAGTAAGTGACTCTGAGGGAGAAAAAATGGACTTGAATCAAGAAAAAGGAAACGAAAACCATCTGATTTGCCCTTTAGGTCAAACACTGACTTGGCAAGAAATAGCAGCAGAAAAACCTAGAAAAAAATTTGGCACCAACTTACTAAAAAGAGGATTTAATCTTCACAGCTAGTGACATTATATGGTGGAATTGAAAAATGAATAAAAACAATGTTTCCTAGTTACTTCAAAAATAAAGAGCTGTCGAAATTGAGATTAAAAATTTTCCTTTGGAAAGTAACTCTTAAGTCAGTGGTATACACAAAACACAGTTTCATTTTATTTTACATAAAAGAGCCAAAACACTGAATAATTTTATTCATATTTTTAAAATTTCATGTTTTGAATTTTTTAAATAAATTTTTTATTTTATAACAGTTTTGGATTTACAGAATTATTGCAAAGGTAGTACAAATGGTTCTGTATACCCCACGCTCAGTTTCCCCTATTATTAACATCTTGCATTAGTATGGTACATTTTTCACAATTAATGAACCAATATTAACACATTATCATTAACTAAAGTCCATCCTTTATGCAGATTTCCTTTGTTTTTACCTAATGTCTTTTTCTGTTCCAGGATCCCACCCAGGAAATGGCATTACACTTAGTAACCTTGTCTCCCCAGCCATTTTTTGATTGTGACAGTTTCTCAAACTTACTTTGTTTTTGACAACCTTGACAATTTTGAGGAGTACTTTTTGACAACCTTGACAATTTTGAGGAGTACTGATCAGGTATTTTCTGGAATGTACCTCAACTGGGCTTTGTCTGATGTTTTTCTCAAGGTTAGACTGAAATTGGATTTTTAAAATATCTTTTGCTTCATTCTTTAACCCTTAAAATCACCATAACATCATACTATATAATTTGGATTATTACTCAGATAATCATCTCAATCTGTTTAAAAATGAAAATGTCTGCAAGTGGTCCGGCTACAGTAGATTTAAGTCAGTGCTTCAAAGTGAATTACCAATCACACAAAAGCTCTAAATTGTAGCTATTATTTTATATACTCTACTGTATAAAAAACATTAATAATTATTATTAGTTCATTGAGCCTCAAATAAGATTCAGTAGCAAATGCACAGCTAGGCAGTCATAATTCCTAAACTTGCAGGGAGTTATTTTTGATTAGATTAACTTTATGCAGTTTACATTACTAAATTATATATTTTGATATATTCTCTTCCACATCACAGGTGGATTAAAAAAACGTTATTTTCTAAGTGGCTTTAAGGAATAAAGATATCCCTGAAATATGAGGGAAAACATGATCCCCTAGTATTAACTACCTTGATGTTATAATTTATTGACTCTTACTATTAACCTGTTCAAATTTAACAAAGGAGTGTAAAAGTAAATAGTTTAGCACATGAAGGGGAGAAAAACGAACTCCATTAATAAGCCCACTGAATCAGTGACAGGTCATTATTCTCAGGATGCAACTCACCTTATTTATGATGGAAAAAATTCACAGGAATTTCTATGTCAGTCAAGCTCCGGATGTCTACCCAGACTTTTGTAAAACGTTTTAATAAGTATGCCCCAGGTTACTATTTGGCTCTTGTCCGAAAGACAAGGTCAGCGTAAGTTGGACGTGATCAACACCACAGGAAAACGCTACCTGACGTGACCTTGGTGAAGGTGAACCAGCATTAGTCTTTGATCAGGGAAAAAAACAAACAGCCAGGCAAGTGGGCCAGCCCAGAACAGAAGGAGTCTATTAGCTGCAAAAATTACTAGACTGTGTTCTTGCTGAGATTTTGCAGCACCTAATTCAACAAGGAAAACAAAAACCAAACCAAACCACCAAGCACAGCACCCCAGAACACAGAGCATCCAGCTGTCAGGCTGGTCTCTGCATGGTTCACTGCTCAGAGCAGAGTTTCTGGGCACCCAAGACACCCTGAGCCTGCAGACTTCGGGGCCTGCTGTGGACGCTCAATAAGCATTCATCAGAAAAATGAGTGAGGATATGTCTTCACGAGAACAGCAGAGGTGGCCACCCCATGGCGTCTCAGTAAAAGCTTAAAGCCCCTCACGCAGCCCCGCAAAAGTTTTGTCAACAAAAGCCAAAAGATCAGATCTACTCCTTAAACTTAGTGGGCACACGCATTTCCTAGGACGCTATGCCTATCGCTCTTCTCACTGTGCACTCTCTGAATGTGAAATCTGTGTAGGAGCAGGTCTAGGGACTGAGGTCAAAAAGGAGAAAGTTGCATGCCTACCCAGACTAGGGAAACTAAAGAAAAAATAAACAAGTGGGACTTTATCAGATTAAAGAGCTTTTATAAGACAAATGAAACCAGAATCAAGATGAACAGACAACCAACCAGCTGGGAGAGAATATTTGCAAAACATACATCTGACAAGGGGTTGATCTCCATAATATATAAAGAACTCACACAATTGAACAACAAAAAAACAAACAACCCGATCAAAAAATGGGCAGAGGAAATGAACAGACACTTCTCCAAGGAAGATATACAGATGGCCAATAGGCACGTGAAAAGATGCTCAACATCACTAATCATCAGGGAAACGCAAATCAAAACAACACTAAGATACCACCTCACGCCTGTTAGAATGGCTATAATCACCAAGACAAAAAACAACAAATGTTGGAGAGGATGTGGAGAAACAGGAACCCTCATACACAGCTGGTGGGAATGCAAATTGGTGCAGCCTCTATGGAAAACGGTATGGAGATTCCTCAAAGAATTAAAAATAGAGATGCCCTATGATCCAGCCATCCCACTACTGGGAATCTATCCAACGCACCTGAAATCAACAATCCAAAGAGGCTTATGCACCCCTATGTTCATTGCAGCATTATTCACCATAGCCAAGAAGTGGAAGCAACCTAAGTATCCCTCGACTGACGATTGGATTAAGAAAATGTGGTGTATATATACAATGGAATACTACTCAGCCATAAAAAAAAGACAAAATCGTCCCATTTGCAACAACATGGATGGGCCTGGAGCATATTATGTTAACTGAAATAAGCCAGAAGGAGAAAGACAAACACTGTATGATCTCACTCATATGTGGAATATAAACCAACATATGGACAGAGAAAACTGGACTGTGGTTACCAGGGCAGTTGGGGGTGGGGGGTGGGCACAAGGGGTGAAGGGAGTCATATATGTGGTGATGGACAAACAAAAATGTACAACCCAAAATTTCACAATGTTAGAAACCATTAAAACATCAATAAAAATAAATAAATAAATAAATAAATAAATAAATAAATAAATAAATAAATAAATAAAAAAGGAGAAAGTCGCCTTTTAAGAGTAGCCCCTTTCTTGATTTTCCCATTTGTATCCCAGCCTGTTAGTATCTCAGACCAAACAGAAGTAAACACAAACAATTACAGCCTTCAAAGTGGCTCTTCATTTCCATCAGTGTCTGCATGCACATTACATTTCCAAGAAGTGGGAAAGAAATCATCTCATTATGAAGGTCAAATAAGAGAGGGACATAAATCCCGTCTGGTTCAATCACCCAACTGCTTAATGAAGGAAAAACCCAAGCTTCACAATGCAGCATAAATTAAGGGCGGGGTTGTTTTAATAAATAAATAAACAAATGAAAAGATTCAGCCCAATTTCCTTTGGTGAATCAGGACCAACCTGGAGGAAACGACGTACCTGCTGAGAGCTGATGCTTATAGGTTGTTTTAAAATGATCCACGTGACGCTCTCAAGAAGAGGTGGGACCGTCAGGGAACCCGGATATGTCCAGTAGTCCCAGGAGGGAGGAAGCAGAGATAATGGGTCAAAATTCGTGAATCGAGTTTGTTTACCCTGGGGAAGAAAAGAGAATTCCCACAAATGACAATGGGAAAGCTACACACAGACCTCAAAAAAAAAAAAAAACTATATCCAATGAAATATTATTTCACTGGAATTCTTTAATTCATGGAATTATTTAGTAACTGCCTTTTGTATCTTAAAAAACAAAGTATCTGCCTTAATCTAAAAATTTTAGATAAAGTAGTACATCACCTAGATTTGTTTAAGAAGCACGAGATTTATTTTAATATAAGTGGTCTTTAAAATGTGTCACAACTAAAGGCCTATTCTGCAAAGTTCCAATACCAGAAACTAATTATGCATAAATAGATTTATTAGTGATGATTTTAGATAATTTAAGACCCCTTCATAAATCAAGAGAAAAGAGGTAAGAGGTTACTTCTGCTCTGCTGGTCAAGTATGTTTCAAACTTGTTTCAAAGCAGGAAAATATGCAATGTCTAATGTCTATGTTGTCAAAAGAAAAGAAGAGAATTTAGGAGAAAACCAGGAATATATTGGTCATTAGTAAATAGTAATTTTACCTTTTCTTTAATGGAATCCAAACTGTCAGTAATCTTTTGCAGTTGGGAATTGTGTTCACCAATCTGAAAACATGAAATTTCAAAAACAATGGTCACTGGAGCAGATCAGGTCTGAACCACCCCATTTCAGTCACTATTTTTAAATTCTTTTTTTGAAAAACCTGAGCCAGCCCAGAACAAACAGTGACTGTTCTACAATGAAGCTCTCTTTTACCCGCTGGCCTTATCAAGCCCAAAGAATCCGAACAACAAGATAATATTACAGGGCTGCTTGGGTGAACTATAAGTCTGATTCCCAAACTAGTAGCAACAACTTCCTATTTCTTCAGCTTTAGGAATGCTTAAGATACAGGTTAACTTAAGAGAAGTCTCGCTTAGGTAAATGTTACATAATACGTGCATTATTAAATCAGATGTGACTTTCAAACCCAGATCCAAATTGAGTAGTGCGACATCAAAACATTAGAGGAAAACATCTCTGACTTTCAGCCTAAAATGATTTGAGGTCCTGAATCAAGGCAATACACCATCACGAGTAGAATTCTTCAGAAAAACATATGTACCTCATTTCATGACAAGAAGTGTCCTGACTCCACCTGAAGCTTTTACCTTCTTCAGGATTGAAGTTTAATTTCTTGCCCCACTTGGAACCCACTGCCACCACCAGACTTGGTGGCTAAAGGAAAGGAGTTGCTGCCATCCTTGCCACTCTCTGCTCTGTCCCACGCTCCCCCAGTCCCAGCTCCTACGACTTACGGCATCACCCACAGAGTCGGTGGCATAAGAGGAGTGCACACCCTACAGGAATATGGGCACAGTGGGAGTTGAGCGGCCAACCCACCCACAGGTATTACGACAGTGATGCTTGTCTGAGCACATGTGAATATCAGACAAAGGACAACACAACGAAATTAAAAAAAAAAATGGTCAGTGCATTTAGGAGAACAAACCATTGTGGTAAAACTAGCACTTCAAGAATCAGGAATTTGAACTTCCCTCTGTCTTGTAACTCTAAATATTGTGTAATCAGGAAGAGCCTAGAATAAAGATTTTCTTCTCAGGATCTCACTATTGTTACTTCTGCTGCTACTGTGGCTGTTGTTTCTGCAGCTGTTGCTATTCACCTAAAAACGATCGATGGACAGTAAGAGGAACCATGAGACAATGCTCCTACGGTAGTTCTGGGCCTTTACATAAACCATGAACTAATATATAATGTTAATTTCAAAAGGAGAACATTAAACCTAGAACTAGTTTACTGTTAAAAAATGGTAGACTGTCGGGGGCCGGCCCCGTGGCTTAGCGGTTAAGTGTGCGCGCTCTGCTACTGGCGGCCCGGGTTCGGATCTGGGCGCGCACCAACACACCGCTTCTCCGGCCATGCTGAGACGCGTCCCACATACAGCAACTAGAAGGATGTGCAGCTATGACATACAACTATCTACTGGGGCTTTGGGGGAAAAAAAAAAGGAGGAGGATTGGCAATAGATGTTAGCTCAGAGCCAGTCTTCCTCAGCAAAAAGAGGAGGATTAGCACAGATGTTAGCTCAGGGCTGATCTTCCTCACAGAAAAAAAAAAGGGTAGACTGTCTACTCCGTGAGTGAAACTCTTTATCCAACAAGGCTGATTAATGATTTAAAATGAAATTAGGGGATTCTCACCTGTAGAAACACCGCCAAGACAGCTAGTCCATCTGGCTCATGAGCTGCCTCCACAAAGCTGGGGTATTTGTCTGAATTCCAATGGACAACATGGAGCTGAAAGGCAGGGACACAACACCATTCAAATATTATTTTTTAAAACATTCTTAAGAACATAAATGCAAATAAAACATTTATATAGATGTTCTGGTGCTGTGTACTCATATGTATAATATTTTCTTCACAGGAAACTTGGACAGAACGCTTCTGTCTACTTTTGTCCAAACGTTAAAGCACAAGAGGTGAAGGACCACGGTCGCTTAGCTGGTCTGCGGTGTACTACGTATTAAGGTTTACACCCCCATTTAGAACGCTCTGGAGCACTCCCTAGCCCGAACAATCTCCAACCGCTGCTCCCAAGGGGCTTGGGGCTCCCTCGTGTCTTCCACAGGTGGGACTGCCTGAGATCAGCCTGAGATCAGACCCCAGCTGGCGGCAGAGGCCAGCGAAGGAACTGAGGCTCACAGGTGGGGGGAGAATCAACAGCCTACGTGGTAGGTTTTCAGGGACAATCCTGCTGCTGAGGACAGCACCAGTTGTTCCGGAAACTGCCCGGTCAGATGTTCATCACTGTCGTTTAAGACTTTTTATGGCTTGAAAAGGCAAATTCTCCTTAAGAGTAACTCTTTTAAGCAGTTTTCACACATTTACTACCGTCTGTAAATATGTTCAGATCCTTCTCTGAGAGCAAGTCTTAATATGGAAAAAGAGGCTTCAGGGACTAGGAACCAGGGATGTCTGAGGAAGAAAATGAGAGGCAGCCGGTGCTACCGAGGGGGTGGAGGGAAGGACAGAAGGAGAGAGGGAAGGAGTTGGAGGACCTGAAACTCTAGAAAACAGGCTCCACCTACTTCACAACTCTACCCTCAGCAAGTGGCCTTCTGCAAATCCAAACGTGGCCTAAATGTTCCACCATTGTAAACAGCGCAGAACCCCAAACACAGCAACACGTGTGGAAGAGTGTGGAACAGCAATAAGGCAGAAAACCACTCTTGGAGGGACTTCATTCCTAGCTAAGGAAAGGACAAAGTGAGATGGAAGCCAAAAGCAATGGGACACACTCAAATGATATGGCCAAGATGATGAAGACACCATGTTGTCCAAGGACTCTATATGAGAGATGGACTTCAGATAAGACCTCCTTCAGACGAATCCTTTTGGCACCTCAGGGAGGAAATTCTTATGAAAGGTTTCATGCATAAATCACCTTTCTAGCTGACTGTTACAGAGAAAATTTAGTATATTCAAATACACGATTTTATCGAGCCTTTAAATATAACTTCACATCTTACAGGCAACTAATATGGGGGGATTTCTGGATAAACAAGAATTATCATAAACAGTGAACTATAAAACTATAAACTAGTGCACCACCCACAAACAATCAAAGAAGATTGTGGGATATCCAGACAGAAAGTATAAAAGTGGCTTCTCATGGTGCCATGTTCTAAGTTGGTGTGAGATAGTGGGGGAGGAACAAAACCTGAAAACATTGGATGATTAAACAAAATTCATTTGAGTTAGAGATAGATGACACTCCACTGTAAGGGAGGGGCTGAAAAGAACATTACAGTTATTTCCAATGGTTCTACGTGAATGCACTTGGTAAGAGATGACACCAGAAAGATAGAAAGACGTGGAATGACTTCTTTAGGTTCACAACCACAACTGACTAGAAAATGAATTTGTGATTAAAGAGACATGAATCTGTATCTTCTGCTGGTTAAAAAACAACAACTATTTGAAATATTATGGGAAACTAGAGCAAGAAAAATCCTGTTTTCTAAAGAAGTCCTTCTCTCTCCCACACACCCTGCTTAACTGGCGGCAAAACCTTCAGAGGAAATGATATCATCTTATTAGCATTTGTATTTGAATTAAAACTCAAACGAACACATAGCAAACTCACATTTCCTGACCAACAACATCAGCTACAGTGACTTGAGCTGAATGACAAGAAGTCTTTGCAGCCACTGCAGAAATGGGAATGATGAGACTCTTCTCTATTGGAAAATGATTTCTAAATAGTAGTAGTATTCAATTTTAGTTGTTTTTGCGTGTGTGTGTGTGAGGAGATCGGCCCTGTGCTAACATCTGCCAATCCTCCTCTTTCTTTGCTGAGGAAGACTGGCCCTGGGCTAACATCCGTGCCCATCTTCCTCCACTTTATATGGGACGCCACCACAGCATGGCTTGCCAAGCGGTGCGTCGGTGCGCGCCCGGGATGCGAACCGGCGAACCCCGGGCCGCCGCAGCGGAGCGCGCGCACCCAACCGCTTGCGCCACCGGGCCGGCCCCTCCATTTTAGTATTTTTAAACTGCATACTATTGGTAAAATAAGCTCAGTATGCCAAAAATCACCATTAATGTTGACATCATAGTTTACTACCAACTACATATTTAATATGCTTATTGTATATTCTTCATAAACTGTAATCAGATAAAGTCCCAAATACGAGTGGACGATTAGCCTGCTTTTTGCAGATGCATAACTCTTGGGATAAAGTTTTTCATGATTTAGATCACTTTAATCTGTCTCTGTAATGCCACAAATCATCAGATTAGGCCCCAAATTAAGTTTTCATGTGTTACAGCTTTAAATGCTCTTTTTCCTTTCTTTTCTTTTTATTTTTTAAGAGGATACAACTTGATGATGGTCACGAAGTTAGGTACAAAAGTGGCTGGAAAAACTAATTAACACTTTAGAATCGTTTCTACGGCTGAGCACAAAGGGATTCTTTTGAACCTGAAGCCAAATACAAGTGGCTCCCAAATACCTCATCTCCAGCCCCGACCTCTTCTTCAAATCCAGGTTTGTATCCAGCGGCTTCCTTGAATATGAGCCTAGAAGATCTAACAGGCATCTCAAATTTAACACATCCAAAACAGAAAGTTAATTCCTCTCTGCAACCTGCTCTTCCCTGGACTTGCCCCTCTCAGTAAATGGCAGAACCATCTTCGCGGTTGCTCAAGACAAAATCTTAGGAGTGTCTCTAGTTTCTCTTTTTCCTTCCTTAAATCTTGACGTCCTTTTGATTGGCAAGTCCCACTGATTTCACCACCCAAACATATCATGGATCTGCCTAGCTCTCTTCACCTCCACCACCCGCATAGTCCAAATTACCATCATCGCTCATGTGAACTGCTCCATGACCTTCTAATTTGTCTCCCTGCTTCAACATTTGCCAACCTCTTCTCCACAAAGCAGCTAGTTATATTTTACAAAATATAAAGCAGAACAGGTCATTGTCCTGTTGAAAACCTTCCATTGTCTTGTCCCGTTACGTCAAGGATAAACTCCACACTGCTCACCAAGCACCACAAAGCCTGACAAAGTGGTGTGGCCCCTGCCTGCCTCTCTAGGGCACGGCCTATAACTTCTCCTCTACCATTAATTCCAATCCTAGAAGCCAACATCTTCCTCTTCTTGAACATGCCAACCTCCATGCTGCCTGAGACCATTTGTACTTGCTGTTCCCACTTACTGGAAAGCTCTCTCCAGATTCTCTCACAGTGCTTCTTCTGGTCATTCAGTCTCAATTCACGTATCATGTCAAAGAGGTCTTTCCTAACCCCTCACTCGACCAGATCCCATGGTATCGTTCCTATCAGAGAACCCACCACATTCCATTTATTTACGCGTTTGTTTACCTCTAACCCCCACTAATCTGAGCTCTGACCCAGACTTCCTCTTTCTCCATCAGCATTTCCTATCTCAAACCACAAACACTAACTTCACCTCTCCTCACCCTCAAACTCAGTCAATCAACAAACCCCACAGCAGCCGCACTTCCAGCCAGTCCTCCAATTGCACTATCATCTATTTCTCTTAACAGATTTTAAAATAGCATACATCTATAATATTCTAAAAATGCAAATATGATCACTTCCCTCTCAAAGCCAGTCAGTGATGTTCCATGGCATTTAGTGCAAAGTTCACAATCCTCACCATGACTTACCCTAGTGAGATCAGGCCCCTCCAGCCTCTCCAACTTTCCCTCTGACGACCCTCCCCTTTGTTCTCCATGCTCCGACCACACTGGCCATTCTGTTCTGCAAATATGTGATGCACTTTCCTGTCCCAAGTCCTCGCACATAATTCCATGCAGGTGTCTCTCCCCTTTGCCTGGCTCACTCCTGCTCATCCTTCAGGTTTCGGGTTAAAGGTCTCTTCTACAGGGAAGCATCCCCCGACCCATCCCTCCTTCTTCCCATCACTTCCTTCAGGATGAGCATAAGTAAGCTGGGTAAAGACTGGGGACATGGCAGGATCTCAATGAATTCTTAGAGTGAATGAATGAATGTATGAACAAATGAAATAAGAAACAGCCTTAAATATCTATTACAGAATAGTATGAAATTCCAATCAAAGCTTTATCCACTTCAAGAAGGAAAGTCTACAAAGATGGCCCTTGCTCTGCAAGTAGGACTCAGAGCCTCTGATGAATTTCAGGATGTGAGAGCCCTTTTCAGGAAACCACTTGCCAACTCAGAGTAAAGCCCTCTGAGAGCACAAGAGTACACTCTCAAGTTTATGAGAGTAGAAGGTGTAACCACAAAGCAATGTGACCAATTTTCCTCAGTTGCTTAGGAAAATTACTGCAGTGATCCAAAGCCAGCTCTTAATCCCCACAAAGCTTTCGAGATTGAGAACATGTTAAGTTTAGAACACAAAACTTTAGAAAGCAAACTTGAGGACTATTCAGATTATATAAACTGAGACACCATACAGATTTAGGAGTTCCACTTTCTACAGCTCGGCATCTTTCGTCCACTGCCATGGGACACTTTGGATGTACATTTTCTTCCTCCACCCTCAGGACAGAGTGGGTCCCGTGCTCTAAGCACTTGGCCTCCAACAAAAGTGCTTTAGTAGGGAAAATGGACATTTTGGCTGATAGCCTCAAAGAGCAGATGTATGTGTTAATGGAAGACTAAAACTGGAAAGAAGTCCCCTTTGCTGGATTTCTCTCAACAACAGGGCTACAAAGGAGTGTCTGAGCTCCACAGCTCAGTAACCACGAGAAAACAAAGAAAAACTACTTGTCTGGTAACATTGCTCTGTCTTGCCTAGACGACCTACAAGCCAAATTATTTTCACTTAAATAGTTTTGGTTGAGTCACACAATAATTCACTTTCTTCTCATGGTAAAGTTGGGTGTTAGCAATATTCAATTGTATTAAAACTTGAAGTATGTCCTTTAACCAGTGGATTAGAAAAAGTAGAGTATTATTAATGAATATAATTATAAGGAAAGGCGTAACTTCCCAATCAAAAAGAAACAAGTCAGTGAATGCTTTATTGTGTTATGCTTTACCAATGCCCTGAATGATCAACCGAGATTCCATTCCATACCTGTGGTTGTAGAGGTAATCTAGAGTTTAGGAGAGTTTGTGTCTTTATTTATTTATTTTTTTCCTAAGAGGAACTTTGCCATTTACCATCACCTCTATAATATGGGCTTTAGATGATATTAGTACAGTACGTATATATCTGTGTCTGGACCAAATATGAACACAGTTGGACCTAAAACAAATGTTTCTTTCTCTCCCTTCTCACCAGCCTTTCAGAAAACACAACAGATAACGTAGAAAGAGTTTGTAATTCGGTATCAGACAGACTTGGGTTTCAACCCATATCAACTGCTTCCCAGCTGGATAAGTTATTCATTCTCTTCAAGTCTCCAGTTTACTCATTTCTAAAATAGGCACAATAACCCTATTATTAAGCTCTAATAATAGATAGATAGATAGCTCTAATAAGAGCTTAATGATAATTAAGCTCTAAGCTCTCAGAGTCAGTTTAGGGCTCAGAAGGGCTACATTTGCAGCTCTCATATTGATAAACTCTCATCCTGATGGAATAAAGCAAATTCAGACACTGAGACACCTAACTGGCTTTGGATCTGTTTGGGGTCAAGGAAGTTGTGCTCTGTGCCCCTTAAATCCCACCACATAGGAAAACTCCGAATCATGCACATATGTCTGATGGCTTACCTCTGCGGCATACCTCACTCCGTCCACCACGTGTTCAGAGCCATGATCATCAGCGGACCCCCAGTGAAGATGAAACTGTCGTAACCTGTAGCTTCCAGTGAGAGGACCCCCACGCAGAACTAAACATCAATACATTTTAAATTATTAGCAAGAAATGAATATTTACACATGCTGCCACACCCCACAACATCTCCCTAATTACTAAACATATCCAGGTCTTCCAAGAAATTTTTTGCAAATGTTTCACTCAGTTTGCTAACAGGAACACAACTTTTAGGTATATGAGGAGTGAAAAAAAACATTTTAGAAGGTTAGAGAGTCCACAGTACCCATTTTTATGGAACATCTGGGAAATCACACCAGACACACTGGTTAGAAAGTCAAAGAAATTAGGAGTTCTTAAAGGTTAGGAATTGCTCTGTTTAATGGAGGATGTCAGCCTCTGTCAATAAGGAATTAATATGCAAGAGGTCCATCTTGAACTTGGTCGAGCAGTCTAGCATTATGGTTAGAAAATAGGCTTCAGCATTTAGAAGACCCGGGCTCACGCTCTCTTTACAAACTGTACGATCTTGCACAATCTCTTTAACTTGGAAACTTCACCTTTCATGTCTATGCCCTCAAGATAGTAAATTCCTAACACTGTTGTGAAAACAGAAGAAGAATTGAACACAAAACACTTATCATTGCCTGGCATACAGTCAGCATGCTGGACGTGTTAGCTATTATTATTACTACTTCATTGTTGTTATTATTACTACAAATATTGGCAAAGTAAGCCCATCTTCTGTACTTCAGTTCTATCTGGGGAAATGTGAAATACAGGACAAAATTAACTCTTTTTAAAAAATCCGTCATATCTTGGTCACCTTGGCAGAGAATGTTTTAGTACTTTGCCTCAAATATGATTGCTGAAAAGATGGCAATAGAGTCTAAAGCATACAGAAAAGCTTCTTAATAGAAAACATAGTCCTAAACTGTCTCGTCCCAATTAATCTTTATTGGGCATGCATAGAAGATATGGGAGGATAAGGAAGTGTTGGATGGTGAATACACCAAACACATTACTAAACTCCCATCAACATCCAATAAGATTAAGTGTTAGATTGGCGAGGTGCAGCCTTAACAATAGTTTCATTTAAATTACCCACCTCTTCAGAGATTATATGTAAATATACATGCATGTATATGCTATATATATGTCTTGAAATTTGTCAAGAATGATACGACTTACATAAGAAGCAAAAGATGTTCAGAGGTATCAATGCAGTTTTCTAGAAACAGCGAGAAATAAAAGGAAAAGATAATACATTTGCCTAAGGCACACCCCTCTTTGAGCTACACTGTAGAAGGAACGATCCAGACTGCTGTCTGTATTGACCAGTACATCCGAACTCATTTCTCACCTACTGAGTTTGACTCAGCTGAAGTTGAACATCCATGATAAAGAGCTGGGGTAGTGGCTGGAATCAGCAGACCTGGGAACAGTTCTGGCTCAGCTACTAAATTGCATGATCTTTCAAAACTGCCTTAAGCCTCCATGTGCTTCAGCTTGTTATATTTGTGTTTGTTTGTCTATTTTTAATTAGGAGATTGGACTAGGTGCTCCTTATCTTGTAAAATTCTCAAAACTGCCAACAGAAAAAAATTGTAAACGTATGTAATAAAATTTTTTTGGAAGGCTGAATGGTTGGGGCTTCCTTTAGATTCATGTCGATCCAGATTTCTTTACGATAGCTATTTTCAAAGCCCATGAAAAGTAAAAGAGAAGAGAGAACCACTTACTTCAGACTCTAGGGCTCACTCTTCTGTTACAAACAGAATAATTTTACTGTTTCTTCTCCCAGCAGACAACGTTCGTGAGGGCAGAGACTGTGTCTGTTTGGGTCCCTGCTGTACCCATAACTTAGCATGGTACCCATCACAGAAGAGATGCACGATAGATAAATATTTGATGAATGAATGAATAAAATATTTGATTTGTCTTGAAACAAACAGTTTCAAAGATGACTCACAGATAAATTAATTCAAAAGACACATTTCCCATGGGCCGGCGGTGGGTTTGCAAGTTCCACTTCAGCGGCCCAGGGTTCGCTGGTTGGGATCCCATGCCAACACCTACTCACCGCTCACCAAGCCTTGCTGAGGTGGTGTCCCACATGGAAGAGCTACAACTCTACAACTGTGATACACAACTATGTACTGGGGCTTTGGGGAGAAAAAAGAAAAAAAGAGGAAGATTGGCAACAGACATTAGCACAGGGCCACTCTTTCTCAAAAAAAAAAACCCTATATCATTAAAAATAAATTTAAAAAAAAGAGACATAGGGCCGGCTCCGTGGCTTAGCGGTTAAGTGCGTGCGCTCTGATGTTGGCGGCCCGGGTTCGGATCCCGGGAGCGCCCCGAGGCACCACTTCTCCGTCCAACGTGAGGCCGAGTCCCACGTACAGCAACTAGAAGGATGTGAACCTATGACATACAACTATCTACTGGGGCTTTGGGGGGAAAAAACTGAATAAATAAAATCTTTAAAAAAAAAAATAAATAAAATAAAATAAAATAAAAAAAAATAAAATAAAATAAAATAAAAAAAAGAGACACATTTCCCTAGGTGACTCCATCCAGATTGGATGCAGTGGTATTCCAAATGAAAAGAAACCAGTAACTCCACTGTCCTGTTTTTCTTGCTGTTGCATAACAGCCATAAACAGAACCATAAAGTCATTCCTTCAGAGATACAAAGCAGATTAGAGAGCTTGAGTAATCAATGTGGAACTGACTTTGGGAGAAGTTGCAACCAAGCCGGCTCAGGAGAAAGAAAGTGACACCAAAAGCACACATCGTTAGGGAAACGTCCCAGAATAAGGGTAGAGCTCTAGAAAGCCTGCTCTGAACCCAGGATTTAAAGCCAGATTAGCACAGCTCTGCACATCCGGACTCCACATGTGAGTGTTTGAACTGAAATATCCAAACTGGGACTACGAACAGCGAATGTCTAATTGTGGAGACCATTCTCTTGGAGCAGCACTCTTCCACAGAAACACAGGGTGGGAAAAAGTGAGTCAAGTATCAAGGCTAATTATCACTGACCTTGATATAGTACACAATAAAACAGCCAAACTATGGTGTAACATGAAAAAGAGCAAACAAAAATTATTTGTAATGAGAATGATTCAGTGTTTTCAAGTGTGAAATTGTTCATCTTACTTTCTACCTAGATGAGTAAAGAAATATTATAATCTCCATCCTATGTCTGAAAGCGAGTAATCATTCCTCCAAAATCCCACTTGTCATACATATATATAATCCATTTATCCTTTCACTAAGAATTTTCTTAAAAACCTATTCCAAATAATACACTCATATAAGAGGTCTTTAGAGATTAAGAAACCAGAGTAAAATGCCATAAAAGTTTAGGAAAAATTTACTATCTTAGTAAAAGGGTCTTTGTCATTTGTTATATACTCAAAGACCAACAAAGCTGTGAAACTAGAAATGTATGTGTTCCTCTATTGAATTGGACTTTTTAAAATTGTTAGTAATTTGCTAATCCTACTCATTTTCTGAAACTATAATGTAGTCGGCTGCCTTGAATGATAAGCAAAGCTGGCAACAAAATCAGAAAAAAAATTAATTTAAAAATCAACACCTTTGTCCATGCATTTACTGTCTATCCCAGTAGGATACGAGCTCCTTTAAGGCAGAAACTGTCTTGTTCCGCTGTACATCCAGTGCCTAGGACAGTGCCTGGACCAGTAAATGTTACTAATATAAAATAAGAAAGAGACCTCGCCTGTAGAAGCCCTCCTCCACAAGCTTCAGTTTGTGAGGCTGCTACTGAAGTGACCTGGGAATCGCTAAAGAGCACATTCTTAGGACTAGCGAATGTAACGAAAGTCAGCCTAGTCACTGTATGGTGAACTGCTCTCTGAAGGAGAGCTAAATGAACAGCACATCTGTGTGTTGCCTGAAATCTAGGAAAACAGGAACCAAAGAGCACACATCTACCAGGATTATAAATGAGCCAGAGACCAAAGACATGGACGTTCCCAGTCACTGGGGCCTGAATTCTTTATGAAGCCAAGACAGCCTTCACCAAGTCTGGCTTCTTTTGCCCCGAGCATGTGCACACCAAGGTACTCTCTAATCAAACAAAACTTTTACTACAGGTTCTAGCAAAGTCCTAATAAGGAACATACAATGCACAGGTGTTTCCAATATGACAGACAAGAAAGTGCAGTCCAATCATCCAAGCCCCTCACCTCCCACCAAAAAAAGAAGTAGCCAACCTGATTTGTCCTCTGTGTCATCAAAGCCAACGCTGAAGGAATGGCCACTATTACTGATGATTTTAGCTGAGCTCGGGTCATACTTGATAGTAAGGGGTCGGAGAGCAGAGTCGTATTTCACTTCTTTGGTTTTAATCTCAATCGGAGATTGCTGATCCCCATCAGCAATAGGGAAAAGTTCATTCCAATGAATAGGACCTTAAACATACAGGACCAAAAGAAAAGGACTAAATAAGTTATTTCATTCAACAAATATTTGTTGAGTGCAATGCACTGTGCTTGAGATTGATGGAAAAACAAAGATTAATAAAATAAGGTCTTCATCCTCGGGACCCTAGCATCTAATCATTTTTTTTTACAAGACTAGTTACTTTTATTATAGGTATGGAAACCTCCCGGTTTGCCTTAATTCATTTTCAGAATTAAACTAATCCTTGTAAACAAAAGAGCATGTAAGTTTCATAAAGTACTTTCCAAAGGTATCCTTCTACCAAACTAAAAACAACAGCACAATTCATGATTGAAAACAGTGAGATTCAGTCTCAGCTCCAAGAACGAGCCATGCTGGCTCCAGAGGTTAACAAGTCTAAGGGCTGACAGAATTAATGGACCTGAGAAAGCTATGTAGAGAAGAAAGGCTGTATTTCTTAAAGACGCTATCCCTACTTCTTTCTTCGATCACCCTCTGGTATCTTCAGGTGTCATCCAGTCCTCAATTCAATTCCCTGTGATGTGCAACAAGCATACTAAAGAAATATATAAATTTTTCACATAGGGTAATCCAAATAAAATGGCTGCACCATGTCAGGAAATGTAATATTGTTGATTATCTGCAATGCAGTCAGGTAACAATTTCTTTCTTTCCGCATTTCAGAAGGTCCTCTGTGTTTATTTTGCCACTGCTACATTTGAATTCCAACACAAGGGACAATTGTCATCCTGATCCTCTATTCAAAAAGCTAAAATCGCATCAAGTTCCCAAACCAGACGCATGTTTGGTAAACTGATGTGAGCCAAAAAGCTGGCGATTCCCTTGTCTACTCTCTTCATTTCTCTGGGAGGCTCTATTCAAGTTCTGCCTCTCAAAATCCACAGCAGGGTTGCAACTTCAAGTAAGCCCCAAGCCACTCTACAGACATGAGTCCCTTCATAGGTTGGAGGCTCTTATTATCTCCTCTCCCCTGCTGGCCATTTACACAGCTGCCACCAGGTAAACAGAGCCTGGGGCTACTGACTAAGCTTTTCCCTACTTCACTAACCAACTAACTAGATTTCTCCAAAACTCAAGTATTTATTAAAGGGATACGGTATGACAATGAATTAAGCATTTGTTACTGACAACAGCAAATATTTTTAAAAGGTAAGATTTAGAACGAAATTTTAAGAAATGCAAATATACCACAATAATCAACAGCTTCAATCTCTGAATCTAATGCTGCTCATTACTCTTGATTTTGGCAAAGGGGAAGGCATAAATTCTTTCCTCCCCATAGGCTTCAGGTACAAAAAGTCACAGCGTGAATACATAATCGTACACATAACTTAAAAGCTGTTCTGCCTTGAATCGACTTCAAAGCAACTTGAACATCAAAAGGCTTGCTTACAAACTATTACAGCAAAGGCATTACATTTCCTTATTCATTAACTACTCTCATTTGCCTTTCTCTTTCTATATACAATCTAGTCGTTTTTTTTTTACGTGAAAAATGTTTTCTATTTCACTGCCACCAAGTATGACTTAACCTAAAGAGAATTCCATTTCAAATATGCAATGCAAGTGTTACGACATGTTGTTGACTTTTTTCCAATGGGAAAAGAGTTTCTTTCTCCTCCTAATTCCTTTACTCTCCTGTGTCCAGTCCTTTATAACCAGAACTATTTGTAAAAGCAGAGGCAAACCAAAATAAAATAGAAATAATACCACTTTGCATCAATTACTCAACATTATCTATTAACCAGTATGGTAGGTTCATTTCCCTGCCTCTTTTTAAAATTTTCCAAAACATCCAACTTTAAACCCATTTAAACGTAGTTCTTAAGTAGAGATAGATGGTGGTTCTTCCATTGATTCAGGAACTTTTGGATATCCATAGTAATATGTAGTTTTCAAAGACTGTCATATTTCCTAAATTAAACCAATAAAACTATCAAAGTTTAGTGGAAGAAGTAATAAGTTGTTTGTGAAGATGGTACCCCCTTCCAATACCTCGTCTCTTGATGTTCCATTTTAGCATTGCTACTATTCCCAGTTTAAGATTCCTTTTATCTGCTCATTCACTGCTTTTGCCAGTCTAAATAGAAAACAAGTAATAAAACTTGTCCAGTCAGGTTACAAAACATTTCCAATAGGATTTTGCCAAGGTTTATCTACTTAAAGATGTGGTCCTCAGAAAGCTATTGCGTCTAAAAGAAGGGAATGTCCCTACAATTCTCAGCAGAAATACAAAATCGCTCCTTGTTAATTGCTTTTCTAAGATGGATTTTTAAAATTTCTGAAGATAAGCTTCATTGAAGCCAATACTTTCTAACACATTAAAGGGTAATCAATACTCATTGATTGAAAATACCCTTCTTCCTAACCATAGTGAAGGCACTGCTGACACCCAGTAACTATCAAATAACTACCAAAAATTATTCCAGGAGAGAGGGAAATTAAAAGAAATTTGTTCGTGGAATTTTTTTTCCCCAAACATAAATTGGAAATTAGCAAAATGTAAGATTATAATTATAGTCTCAGTCAAAAAGAAATCCACCTAAATTATACCTTTCATTATTAAAGTTCTAAATTTTACCAACTGCGATTTTTAAACTGGCAGGTTAATCATAACCTCAAAAAGGCTACAATGAGAAATGAAACTTTTCTGTCTCTTTGTAAAAGTAAACTTTCTATAAAATTCGACCATGTAGTACTGTTCAATAATAGGCATGTTAATCCAAGGAAAATATTACTATTATTATTTTGATTTTGACAGTGATTCACTGTAAGGCTTTCTTCGTGTCCCTTTGCAGTTATTTTAAATAATCAGTTCAGTTTAATGCAAAAATCAGAAAAATGGTTTACTTTTGATAGTTTAGCATATGCAAGAATAAAAGTATACATCTTATTATTACTATCATTCCTGAATACATTTTTACCAATGTGTTAAAATTTCAATAATCCTTTGCTAACCCTCAACCTCTGCAAGGATGAGTGTGGAAGGACAGGGAGAAAGAGTGAAGTGGCCCGAAATATAACTTCATTTCCCAGGAAGAACCTGAAGTCTCACTAAAGCAGGAGCCCCAGTGAACCAGCTGCAAATCGCTGCGGGAATTTTACAGTAACAGCTATGAAGAAATTGGCAGTACTCTGGCTGCCAAGAAGACAACGTCAATCTTCATTGTTGCAATTCAAGGTACTCAAGTTTCTTAAATATGTTTTCAAATATTTTCCATGATTTGTTGCCCCTAAGTGAATAATGAGCTTAAAAGACTGAACTTGTCCTCAATTCCTTAAACTGTGTCATCGGACTTCTAATCTCGGTGCCCTTCATTGATAAGCAGTGATTACTAGGAAAGGTCCTGGGCTTTTCAAATGAAAGCGAACGGACACAGGTGAAGATTTCGGGGTCTGGGGCATCTTTGCAGGGCTAGCCCACGCCAGCTCTCACCCCACTATCAGCTGAACCCTCCCAAACCCGCTTTCCCTGTCTACACTGCACTGAGCCGTCCCTCCGCTTCCTGCACCGGGCTCCGGGAGCGCGCTGGTTTAAAGAGGAACCGGAAAGCTTCTCCAGGCGCGGGACCAGCGGTGTGGTCGGCCGACCGGGCATCGGGCCCCCCCCAACGCCCACCCCACCCGGCTCCACCCCGTACGCCCCCATCCCCGCCTCGCGCCGGAGCCCCCTCCACCCAGCAGGCGCTCACCGTTGTGCTCGCCGTATCCCCAGCTGAGCGCGGACATGGTCCCTCGGGTGGCAGGCAGAGGAGGACGTGGCCGGGCAGCCAGAGGAGCGAGGGAGCCCGAGCGCGGGCGGCGGTGGCGCCCAGGGCGGGGACAGAAGTGGCAGCCCCGGCAGCCCGGCCGGGGCGCTCTGGCC